AATTTTTACTAAGAAATATATAAATATATTCGAATGAAAATTACATGCATTTTTTAATATCCACTCAAAGGTCAGTTTCCTCGAAATTCCTGCACGATGGAATCTCTCCCTTTAGGCAGATAGCCTTTGCCTGCTTATTCTATTTAATAAAAACTTAAAGTGACCTATGTGCCTAATACAAATGCAATTTATATTTACATAATTTTAAATTTACATATCAAGTTTTAAACTTTTGACTTAAAACACGTTTTAGGATACATTCATTATCAAATTCAAATCTTCTAGTAAATATATTTTGGTATGCACTCAATATCTCTTTCAGAGAGTTTACCTAGTTTAATGATTATCTGATATTATAATAAATAATAACTATCTATTTCACATTTAAACATTAACCGCATTGTCTTCAGATCGCAATCTTGATTGCCTTACTCTGCATAATAGTTTCATTTTTTAAAACAGTTGAAAGAACTAATTGATGTAAATTCACTTACCTGAAATTTTCACACTGTGAAGTAATCCGGAATGTAATACCAATTAATAACACTTTTTAAGCTGTCTTAATAAGCTTATTTCTTAATAAGCTGTCTTGACACTTTCAAAAATAGCGGACCACTATCAAGTATATGTATTGAATAACAAAGATTTTTCAATCATAATTTTGCATTACATTTACGTATTACATTCATAATTTTTGTATTACAACACACAGTATCAGTATTCAATTCCTTTGCTGTTGCTGGATTTAAATTTCTCAGAGAAATCTTTAATCTAGGAGAGAGTATCGAAAATTTCGTCACTTTTTAATTACGATACTGAGAGCAAATATTGTTATATGCTCCAGTTAGCCATTCTTTATCTATGAATGAGACCTGCGTACGTTAAGAAACGATCATGAACCTCGAATTTCGGAGAAAAAAGACTTGCCTGGGAAACATTTAACCATCTGGAATCAATAAGTGGACCATTCAAGATCGGACCTCCTTTGGCAGGATACACAAATGTTTTCACCTCCGTCGATTACCCTATTTTCAAATACTTAATAAGCTGTCTTGATGAGTTCACATTATCTTGACCGCACATGGTCTCCGTCGATTCGCAATGTATCCGTCTCTGTTTCAACATTTGTGTAAACTGTACATAATTTTACACAATGTGTGGTTCAAATCAGGAAAAAGTTGGCAGAGCTGGTGTGGATATTTATTATTTGACGAGGATTGCAACATTTGGTGGTAATTTTATTAACTAACCCAAAAGAAAAAAGTGTAAAAAAGTGTAAACCCGAGTGATTATTTTTCAGTTATATAAAGAAAGATGAGTTTTAAATGGTAACTAAAAAGCCTTCCTCAAAAGTTTTTAAAAGTACATGTAGTGTTACTATGTGGATGAAAAAAAAAAAAAAAAAAAAAAAAAAAAAAAAAATCTGAATGTTCAGATTTTAAATTACGTCTAAAGGGGCGTTTTTTAACGTTGAGGTTACCTATTTATTAAATATCATGTTCTTTGCCCTTAAACCATAAAATTAGTTCAGAGAATATCAAAATAATGGAAAAGCACTTTAAGTTCCGATATAACAGTTTCGCGAGCTGGAGATAAAGTATTTTTTTTTTCTATATAACGTTGCCAATTCGCTTTTAAGCATTGAGTAAAGCAAAATCGTTAAGTTTACAAATAAATCTATAATAAAACAAATTCCAAATTGGGATTTCAGAGCCCCTATCGCAGTAGGATTCGTCATTCAAAACCATGGCTCTATGTACCATTTTTATCACAATGCGAGAAATAGACAATCATTTAATGCAGATTTTCATTCTTAATTTTCTCAAATATAAGGACTCTAACATTTGTGGCAACAGTTTGAAAAGGACCGACGTTATGAGGCCGACGCAAAATCGCAAACGAAAACATAGTCCTTCAGGGACAAAGCCCCTTTGGACTAAAATATTATAATATATAACATTTTGGCTTTGGAACAAAATAAAAGTTAGCTATATCTATCAAAGGGGTCGAGACGTAATGCAATTTTAAGATGGTTTTTCATTCGGGAGCATAACATTTTGCAAAATCGATAGTTTGTAGGGCCAGCTTAGAATTTTATCAAACAATTCGTAATTAAAATCGCTGTTGTGTTATCGAAAAAAACCAAAATGTGAAGTGGTGCGTAATGCCACTAAACTGTACAAATTGCTATTATTCATCACACAATGAACTTTTCTTTTATGCGGAAGTGTCCCGTTTTTCGATTTGTATGGAACTGTCGTGTGTCGAAACACTATCGAAGAGCTGTCAAGGGATTTTCTGAATATAAACAAAAAACACCTCAACTGGAGACCGAAGCTTCGGAGCAGTGCTTCACTCGTAGTGCGGAAGTGGCCTCCCCATCTTTTCTTACCCCCATGGTTTCGGCCCGGGAAACCGGGTTTTTCGCCCCTTGCAACAACGACCTTATAACTGAAATTCCGGAAAGCTAGAAAATGTTAAGAAGGTATAAAGACTATCTTAATTTCAGAATTGGAAAAGTCAATGACTAGAAATGCAAAAGTGAACACGAGAAAAGCAATGCTCGTTAGAAAAAGAGTTCCGGAAATGAAAGAAACTGATAAACTACTCCTATAAGCAATGTAACGTTTGAAATTTCAATATCGATTACAGTGCATTTCTTTTCCTCTGTGGAAATTAATGCAGTGCATTATGTATCAGAGTGGATAAACCTTTATTTCAAGCGAAGTAATTTTGCTGCTGCAGGCATGAAAGGATTAAAAAAATATGCTACTATTTAGATTTGCAAGAATTATACCTTCTTTTATTACATTAGTTTGTAGAGTCTATTAGGTAATTTTAAAGAAGGAGACATGAAAAATGAGCAATGCTGTGGCCGAGGCTCGAACCGGGACCTCTCGAATACGCGCCGAGTGTGCTAACCGTTGCACCACAAAGGCGTGCTGGAAGGAGGGAGAAAATACCTTATACACTCCCCCTTTTAAAGGGCGACTACTGGGAATTAAGGGACCCAACCGCCAAATCCTGACGGTGAAGAATCATTATCCACCACCTTTTAGTTCGGGCGTCAATGTAGATTCATTAGGAATTTTAAAGCGAGAGCCATGTTTACAAAATGGAAAATAAAAATCAATACTGAAAAATCAACAGTCGTTCTTTTCAGCAAAAAAACTCTCAGAGGAAATTTCGAGGATATCAAAATCAATAACGACATCATTAGAAGAGAACCTCATGTAAATATCTAGGAGTTTGCCTGAAGAATTAACCTCCCGTCACACAGCACTACGGAAAGAGAAGCTCAAAAAGCAGTAGGCGCTTTATCTCCTATTAGGGAAAAATCGCAACTCCAATGCTACCAAAAGATAATATTGCAATCCATTCGTCCAATAGTTCTGATGGGCCCAGCTTGGGGCCCACCGCCAATACCCACAGCCAAATACAAGCCAACAAAATGTCACTTACCAAGGTGTCGACTCCATGGTTCGTCAGGAACACGGTCATAAGAAAAATTTAGATTAACACCATCACGAAGAATCTCAATTATCGAAAATTTTCCCCCAACTGTGATATCAACACAATGTCATTAGATATGGAATTACGATCACGGCGAACCAGCCCTTCAAACGTCCTAGACATTTTCATAATAATAATTGGAAGTAGTTAAACTCTATGTACAGCGTTGTATATTTACTAAGAAATTTCGTATTTCTCCGTATCTAGCCAGAAGATCCAGTTTAATTAGAACTCGAAACGGTTGTGGGAAAAATTTTCTAAAACTTTGCTAATATTTTATCCAAAGTTCGTTTTATGGAAATCGTACGCATTGTAAAATTGCTGTAATCTTTACTTCAAGGTGTTTTCGTCAGATGACTATTGACATCATAGCATTGATCAAGGCTAAGTCCCTCCCACAAATTTTATTTTTATTTTTTTATTTATTTATTTTTCAATTTTCCTTAATTCTACTTCATCTTTTTTTAAAATTTTTGGTATTTTCCATGAACTTTGAACATTTATCTTACGAAAAATACAAAAACTTTATTACTCGGACAATTTTTAATGATATTGGAAGTCATTATTCTTCACTTGACTACTCATGTTCAATCAAACAGAATGCACTAGGTGTTGCATTTAATCTCCCTAAGTCTCTCCATCATCTATTGCTCACCAAGGAGGACGTGCAAATTGTACTGTTTAAGATTTTCACTAAGACTGCTCAGTAGCGATACTAATTTTTCGAGTAAAGGCCGATAGGCCGAATACTTCAGAATACGCTAATTCACCGTAATTCACCGCGGGAGCCATGAAGAATGAGCAATTTCCTCGTCGGGACTCGAACCTGGACGTCTCGAACGCGTGCCGAGTGTGCTAACCGAAGTCATGCTGGGAGGAGCGAGAAAATATTTCATAAAGTTTATATATATTTTTTGTTCAACTGGTTTTTTTAAATAACTGATGTTCAATAGTTCCCTATTATTCAATATACCCCGTTATCCGACTAAGATTAAGTTCAGTTTATATCCGATAACTAGGGCTCTAGACTGGATTGAAATAATTGATTTAGATAAAGTGTACAAGGGTTGCCTGCCTAAACTCCATACCAGCTTTGATCGAAGGGATAGAATCCTAGGACTCTGTATTATTGCTCTTTTATTTCAACACCCTCTAAACCAGGGATGTGCCAACTACGGCCCGAGGGCCAACTGAGGCCCGCAGAAAGTATCTATTCGGCTCGCGGATTGAATTTTAATTTGTCGGTTCGAGGTAAATTAAAAAAAGAATACATTATATATTCATCTCATTTTCTACTTTGCTTAATTACTTTTTTTATTCCTTTTTTTTTCAAAGGACTGATGATCTTTTTGCTTTCTCTATTTTTGTTCTACAAAACATAAATCTACGGAAATTGCAAGCACAGACAGCTTTCAATATACTTAGGATGAAGAACACAGATTATTAAGTGAGAAAATGTTTCTTTTTAGCATTATGAACAATTGTAGTTAAGATTTTTATTTCTTTCAGATCTTTACGACAGATTTTTATTTCTCTTCGAATAATGGTATGATGCGAATAAGTCTTCACAATGCATTTCAAATATTGAGTAAAGTTTTACTAATATATACGTGTAAATCAAACAAAACGTGTAAAATAGTTAGGGACGGAACTGCAGCTATAATTTAGATGGCTTAGCTGAAAGAATGTTACTGAATTTTAGAAATGAAATATTTCAAAAAATGTTCAAAGAATTTTAAAAGTTAAAGTTCTCCAAGCAATGATCCAAACTACGTATAACAGCGGAAGTACTTTCACTTCATGAAATGCAGCAAGTTCCGCTCCAGCTGTCAAGTACTGAACGCACGTTCCGCTTCTAGAAAAAACGAGAGAGAGAATAAATCAAGGAGAGCAAAAAATAAAAATACTATATGATTTAATTTTTGATAATAATTGTTTAACCAACAATAAATACATATATTTACGCATATACATACACAGTGACATCTGACCTGCAATCAAATTCCTTGACTCTTGGTAGTTAATTTAAGCTAGTTTTATTGAATTGTGGAACGTGAGAGTGAACCACAAAACTCATCTTTTCTACAATAAGTAATTTTTACTCATACAGTCCTAAGGTATGTGACCTATAAAAACTAAAGTTTTTTACCGTAAGAAATATTTAATCGTTCACGTCTTTGTTTTGTAAATTGAACAGGAAACGGAAGAGATTTCGAATCCTACAGTTCATACTACGTTAAGGTACGTCATGAAATTATTTTGTTACTTTCCTTGAATAAAAACAACATGTACGGCTGCTATATGATAAAGCGAAATGTTTTCCCAAAATTAAAATTTTAAAAATCTCAAAAAGTATTTTAATTTTGAAAGGAGTGCTTATATCTGTATTACATTTTCGAGCATTACAAAGATGTAACTAGAAAAGTTTAAAAATCTAATTAAAACTTGTAAAATAAAAGTACTTTTTTGTCAGTGTATAAGGCATTTTCTCCCTTTTACCAACATGCATTCGTGGTGTAACGGTAGCACACGAGGCGCATATTCGAGAGGTCCAAGTTCGTGTCCCGGCGAGGACATCACTCATTTTTCGTGCATTCATGCTTAAAATAATAATAATAATAATAATAATAATAAGGGAAAAAATTAAAGCGTAAATTTTCGCTTTTTTTCCGTTTTGAAGGGCGTTTTTACATTTGTTGACCTTTCTTTGAATATATGTCCTCGCACTTAAACCATAAGATATCCGTGCAACAGCATATCGCAAAAAATTTTTAAAACGAGCATATCTTTAGAATTTCCGAGACAGAGACTCACGCGCTGGAGATAAAATGTTTTTTTCTGCACAACGTGCCATTGCCGCTTTGAATCCTTGATTTGTTACAAAATTCGTCAAAGTTTAAAATAGGAAATTCGATCATAAAACAAATTTCAAATTTGTCTTCCACATGCTCATATTCGTTGGAGGATTAAGTATTCAAAATTCGATACTCTATGTCCGTTGTTTAATCACATAGAGAAATAGAATCTTTAGCAGATTTCATTTTAATTTCTTCAAATAATGCAGGACTAACATTTTGTGGCACAGTTTGAAAAGTGAACCGACATTTATGAGTCCGACGCAAAATGCCAAAACGAAACTAATAGTCCTTCGGGATTCAAATCCCTTTAGACTAAGAAAAAAAAAAAAAAAAAAAAAAAAAACACTCCAATTTTTGTACAGTGGTGCCCGAACTAAAAGGTGGTGGATGATTATTATTCAGCACTAGAATTTGACGACTGACGACTGGGTCCGGTAATCTCCAGTCGCCCTATAAAAGGGGTAGTATGTAAGTTTTTTGCCTCCCGTTTTCCAGCATGCTTTCGTAGTGTAACGGTAGCACAATCGGCGCATATTCAAGAGGTGCAGGTTCAAGTCCCGGCGAGGATACTGCTCTTTTTTCGTGCACTCCTGCTTCCGAGGAAAAAAAAAAAAAAAAAAAAAACCTAATTTCTCTACAGAGGTGCCCTAACTAAAAGGTGGTAAATGATGATTCTTCACCACCAGGATTTGGCGTTTGGGTCCCCTTATCCCCAGTTGCCCTTTAAAAGGGCAAATACATAAGGTATTTTCTCCCTCCTTCTAACATGCTTTCGTGGTGTAACGGTAGCACAATCGGCGCGTACGGGAGAGGTCCAGGTTCAAGTCCCAACGAGGGCATTGCTCATTTGTCACGTCTCCTTTTTCAAAATAACCTAATGATTCTACAAGTGCTTTTGTTTTATTTGATAAAACTTAGCATTATTTAATGTTTAATTTCAGTGCTTAGCTTTAGCTTAAGCATTAGAATTAAAAATTTTGAAATTAATTTAAATATACTGAATATATTAATTTAAATATATTGAAAGATTTACAGTTCGTTTTAAGTTGAACCATATTTTTTTTTCCCTTTGAGAACGTACAGATTCCCCGTGCACCACATACGTACAACACGAAGCTTACAGAAGTAAGTTAACTAAAAAAACTTACTTCTAGAGAGAGTGACTAAAAGTCCTTATAGTGGTGCGTGTTTGCCTTCCGGCTAATTCGTTCTTGAATTTATTACGCTCGGCCGTATTGTACGTGCTTGTTGATAATCGCCGGCTAGTTTAATTTAAGGGCCAGCTACGTTCCCCCATAGCACAAAACATCCTCAGGATGTCCTATTTAAGTCGCATTATCCCGGGACATACTTAGGATGTCCTGAGGATGTTGATTCTCAGATGTCCTGAGGAGATTGATCGTGATTTAACATCCTGAGGATGTCTTATTTAAGTCGCTATGTTTCGGGATATGAGAGGATGTCCTGATAATGTCGGTTCTCAGATGTCCTGAGGACTTCACCAATTTCACATTCTGAGGACATTCATTCTGCATTGTCCGGAGAACTTCCGTTGTCAAACATCCTGAGGATATTTGTTCTCAAATTTACCAGTTTTAGTTTTTTGACATTGCACATCTGAAACTTGCACGTTATTTAATTTTCGTATGTATTTTACCAAGCTGTTTCTAAATGCTGCACATTAAAAATATTGATATGATTGATGATTTATTTTTGTTATTTTGTTATTAATTTTAACTACTATTTTTTCTGACATTTTAAAAAAATTATTTAATTATAGAAAGGATTATTTTCAATGGATTAGCATTTCGATAAGTTGCTAATACTAAATACATATATTTTATAAAAATGTATAAATTACATGTATATTACTACGATTACAAATCCTACTACATAGGTAATATATATAAATATTTTAATTAAGGAAACGAATTTTTTTAAAATTTGGGTATAGAACATTAGGTATTTTTTTGGAAGCGAAAGATGAAAATTAGCAACTGCCTTCGCCGGAATCGAACGACGGACCTCTGAAATCCGGCCCAGTGTGCAGCCACTACCCCACGAGACACGCTAGAAAAGCGGAGAAATATTTACGACTCCGCTTTTTAAGGGCGACTTTTTTTAAGGGGACCCAATCGCATCCTGGGTGGAATACCTCATCCAACACCTTTTATTCGGGCGCTACTGTAAGACTAGGATTTTTTTGGCAGGCCAGAGAGATGAAAAATTAGCAATAGCCTTCGCCGGGAATCGAACCCCCGACCTCTGAAATACCGGGCCACCGTGCAGAACCATTACACCACGAAGGCACAGTAGGAAAGCGGGAGAAATACCTCATAAGAGGAAATTTCCCCCCCCCCCTAATTACAGGACAGAAAATGTTTTTCAATCGCGCTATCTGTTTGTGTTTAGCTTCGGCTAAGTCTACTTAGTTTAGTATTAGATTAGTTTCTTATTTTCTTATCCTGATTTAAAAAGGCCGAGTGGAGGCTTTCCTGTAAGCTCGAGAAGGGGCACCTATTATTAATTCTTTGAGTGAATAAAAGAGTATTTTAACCCTTGTCACGTCTCTATAGTAACTATTGGAACTCAGCAATAATTCGCTACTTAGTTCACTAGGTTCCTCGACGTTATATCTAGACAACGTATCGAGGAACAATATATAATAAACTTTTGATTTGCGACGTTATATTGCAATCTGAAGTTTTCATGTAATTTTTTGGTAGTTAATGCATTTTCTAATTTAAATTATTTATAGTTGAATTACTCGTATAAGTTTTGCTATTCTTTATAATAATAATTTCGATTCTGTATTTTGCTTTGACTGCTACAAGGTATTAAATTTGCTTTGTTAGAAAATAATTTTAACAGTTAAATATTTGCACGTAACTCCATCTTCTGTGCTCTCAAGTCACTCAGTTACAGATAGTGGCTGCGGGAGGTTAATTCGATAAATAATCTCTCTCTTCTACTTAAAGTGGCTTTTCTTTTTACGTTTCTAAATATTTCAAATTAAAGCAGTGCCATCAGATCTATCAATTATTGGTAAATTACCTTGCTGGTGAGTCACAGAAGAATACTTTTAAGGAAATTGTGAATAAAAAATAAAATCTAAACGTCATCAGTATGCATTTTAAAAATTTAGAGCTATTAATTCGTGAAATGATCTATTGAAAGCAATATTTTATAAAAACTAAAGATTCTTTCTTTCTTATCGTATTCCTCTTTCAGTAATATGACAGAAGATTACGCTGTGAAAGGGTATAGGACTTTTTCACCGTCGCCATTTCGCCCGTCAAGACATATTTTTATGTACATACTTGTATTTTATCTTGCCGTATTATACTCGTATTAAATTTATTTAGTTTAATCATTCTGTTTAGCTTTTGTATACTTAATAAAGGTCGTATCCTGGTATTTAATTTTTAATATATATAGTTATTTACAAGTATGAAATATAAAGAAATTACACATAGTTAGTTGGAAAATTATGTCAGTATCAAAAACTTATAAGGTATTCCTCCCACTTCCCTAGCGTGGTGTAACGGTAGCACGCTGGGCCGGTATTCCAGAGGTCCGTGGTTCGATTCCAGGCGAAGGCGTTTGCTATTTTTCATCTTATGTGTTTTCAAAAAATACCTAATGACTCTACAAGTGGCGCCCGAACTAAAAGGATTGTGGATTGATGATTTCCGCAACCAGTTTGCCGATATCCCCTGAACTAGCCCCTTTAAAAAGGGAGTATATAAGGTATTCCTCCTCTCCAGCTGCCTCGTGGGTACGGTAGCACGCTGGTCCGTATTCCAGAGTCCGTGGTTCGATTCCCGGAAGCATTCTATTTTTATCTTGTATGCTTTCAAAAAATACCTGACTCTGTTACGGTGAAACACCGAAATCTGGAGAATGTCGACTTTCACCGGTGAATGTCAACATTCACATAGTCGCTTGTTGTATGTCCGAAATATTTTCAAATACTCTTATTTCTGACTTACACCGG